ATTGCAACCAAAAGGATTTTGTCTTCTCTGCACCGCTCCAGGCTGTAAAAACTGCATCACCTAATTAAAGATTAGTTCTCTCTTCTTCTGAAAAACTATTAATTTTGAGCAGATCAGTGACACACAATAAATACAGAACCTTGCATTGAGGGGTTGCCATCTGTTTTGGGGAACTGAAATTTCAGGTCACAGAATCATGGAATGGTTTGACTTGAAAGGGACCTTAAAGATCATCTTGTTCCAGCCCTCCTGCTATGGTCAGGGACACCAGGTCCCTCAAATGTCTGTCTGTCTGTGCCAGTGAGGATCACCAGAGCTGCATGTGAACCTTGCTAGGTTAACATGAAATAAGGTTATTTTATTGAAACTTGGGCACAATATTCTGAAGTGATCCATTTTAATAAGGCCAAGAATACTCCAGTTGGGGGGAAAAAAAAGAATTAGTTTTATTTAAATGAGCTCTTTTTCTTGACTGTGATCCTCAGTTAACTTTTTGTTCCCTGTTCTAGTGTGGTGCAGCAGTGCAGCTTGCCTTGATCCAAATTGGTCTTCAGCTGCCTTTCTTAAATTAAGAGCTACTCTGCATGGAACCGATGATTTCTAAATTATTTCCTGTGTCAGTTGCCAAATAGCTTTAAATCCAGTTCTGTAGGAGAGGATTTCTGGAGCATTCACTTATTTTGAGCAAACAAAACAGTCATTTTCCAATATTTATTTTTTTTTTCCTTTGCAGTTGATGAAAACACATGTAACTTGCTGAGCATCTCAGCTGGGCTGGAGTGATTGAATCAGACCCATTAGTTCTTAGCTGGTGGCAGGAAGTGAAATTATTTCCCGAGGGCTCGTGTTACGAGGGAGCACAACTGCTGCTCTCAGGAGCTGAATAGCTTTCCTTCACCTGAATTGGCAGGCAAGTTTTTGGGCAGTTTTGAGTGAAATCCAGATTAAGACCTGATACTGTCATCTGTTACCGGTGCTATTCAAGGCTTCTCCTTCCCACGGATATTGAACCAAATAAACTTAAAGTCAGAAAGGGCACTGCTTAATCACCAGGCTCTGAGTACACCATTCTTCAGCAAAAATCTGCTCAGCTATTATCAGTTTCCAAGTCTTTAATAGCCAATCTAATAGCTGAGAGATTCACACTTCCCACATGAGAGGCAGTTTCAGCAATGGCTTTAAATCAATCCCAGTGGAAATGGGGAGTTACATTAAATCCTATTAATTAGGCAATTTCATCTGTCTTCAGTGCTTTTGACTCTGCTGTCGCCTTGAGAGTTGGGATCCCCAGATGTCCTGCTAATGTGAACCCTCCCTTTGCTCACATACTCTGTAGTTCTCTATCCTCCTCAACCCCAGTAGGAAATGCATTTCCTGGTTTCATTTTTATTTAAAAAAACAAAAAGGTTTATGATGGGCAGTGTTTCCATTCTAAATCAGCTCCTGTGTTAACATCTGCTTACAGGACCGAGTTTGTACTATTTGAAACTGTGATATTTGTGTCAGTGACTATTTCAGGATTATTTTTCTTTCTGCTGAGGAATAACCTAAAGAATAGGTTGATATTTTCTCAACATCTCTTTTTTACCCTGGCTCTCCTGTGAGCTGCTCCTGTTATGAAGCACCTGACAAAAGTGCATTAGAAACCCTTTCACTGCTCTATTGATCAGCATTGCTAAGAGCTGCAAATGCTTGTGCATCTGGCTCCCATGTACTGTGGACAAAGCACAAATGGAAGCTGGGAACAACACCTGTGAATATTGCTTTGGTGGTGGCTCCAATCTCCTTTGACTCTGTTTGTGCTCCCTCTCTCCCAGCAATAGTGGGGTGTTTGTAGGGATGGATTTTTGGCCTCTGAGGGTGTTGTGACAGCTTGTTCTTCACAAGCAGAAATTATTCCACAGCCATCTTGAGCTGGTCCACAGCCACTCCGAGTCAGTGGGACTTTTCTAGTGAATTCAGTGGGCTTTGGATCAGGTCCAGGAAGCACTGAGGAAGCATTTAATGAAAGAGCAGCCCTGAAACCCTGTGATTTAGACAGCACTCACCCAGCACAAATAGTAAATTACAAACAGCAGATACTGGCAGCAACAGGCATGAATAGTCTGTAGTCAGCAGTTCACAGTCTGGAATATGTTGGCGTAAACAATGCATCAGATAATTCCAGCTAACCAACACATTTGTGAAAATCCAAGCCTGTTTATGGATAGTTTTCAAAAAGGCAAGTTCAGCAAGAAGAACACTTGCAAGGAGTAAAACCATTCCCTTTCTGCTTACTGCTCATTTAGCAATGTGTTCTGGGTGTGAGCTGTCCTTGCAAGGCACTGGATGACCTCGGGTGGAACCTGGGTGTTGGGCAGCCCAGTTTATCCCTTATTCTGCTTTGGTTTTGCTGTGGTTTTCCACTTAGGCTTCGTTCTCACGTAGCTTTGCTGCTGGGACTGAGCTTTTTGGAGCAGTGAGGATGGGAGCTGCCTGCAGCAAGTTACAAAAGCATCTTGCAGCCCTGAGTGAGCTGGCAGGAAAATAGATGATGAAATTTGGAGTAGGTGAAGGTAAAGGTGTGTAGATAGAGAGGGGGTATACAAACCCCAATTTCACATCTCCACAGTGACCCTCAGCACCCTGAGGCAAGAGCTTGCCTTGATGAGAAATGTTTCCATGGGAAGTTCTGTGCAGTGCTACACAGCAGTGAGAACACCCAGCTGAAGGCTGGGAATGTCTGGGCATGGCTGATTTCCCACCTGCTGGCTGCAGCACCCCTTGCTCTGTGCTCTCCTGTGGCAAAGGCTGCTACAAATCCCTGGCTGAGGGGATGGAGCTGCTGGCAGCATCATGTGTGCAGGAGCAGATTAGCAGGGAGGACATCTGGGGAGCAGCAGCATCCAAAGCCAGGGAGGGTGGGGACACAGGAGCAGGTACCACTTGTTATAAGTGCATATTGTATTATTGGCTTTTCACAAATATCACAATGAATGTCATATGTATAAGGTTAGAAAACTTTGCTGTACTAATATAGTTTATTTTATTTATGTTATTGATGAAATTTTAAAATAGTGGTATAATACATATTTATGTTAGGTTATAACATGATATTAAAGCACTAACTACTTTTTGTTTATATAACCTAGAGACTGAAAAGATAGTCAGAGACCCCCCCCTGCATTCTTAAGATTATCTTGTCCTCCAAGACCTCCAAGAGAAGAATTTATTATTGGAGGATATAAAACCCAGTGGCACCAAGGAGATTGATCTGTTGGGAAGGGGGCAAGGTAAAAACTAAACAAGGGAACATCAAGAAACTTAAGAAGAACGTATGAATATGTGTGAGAATTTATGGATACGTAGTAGGGTTCTGTTTGTAAGGGACAATCCTTTGTTAGTAAGGTGTGCTCTCTTGGCTGAATGCAGAGACACCTGGCCATATCTGTATACTTTATTTTTATCTCCTAATTGTCTTTCTATTAAACTTTTAAATTCTATAAAAAATATGTGAACCTCGTTTTTCACACACTGAAAAGCAAGCAGAGGCACTTTTGGGTTGCTTTTCTCCATATGCTACCAGGCTTCCCCTTGTAACAGGCAGGCCTTGTTGTTCCCAGCCTAGAGGTGATCCAGGAAAAAGAGATTGCTTGTAAGACATCACAACACTGAACAATATAGAAATATGATGAGGGAAATGATCACTCTGCCTTTGTGCAGGGCTGGGGGGGGTGTGTGTGTGTCAAATCCAGTGAGGTTGTACAGTAAAATAAAGCCTTCAGCTACAACTCTGAAGTACTACAGGGCAGAAAATGCAGCTTCAGGGCTTGCTAAATGAGCTGCACATGCCTGGTGCATGGAGGGTTGTGGGGAAAAGCACTTGTGGTGGTGTTTAGAGATGGTGTCATTCTCTTTGTGTGAAGGAGGAAGGAAACACTCAAAAGCAAGTAGCTCAGGAGCTTCTGCATGGACATTTTCCAGCTTCTGGCTTTGCAGCTCCAGCAATGTCCCTTTGTTATGATGAAGTCTGCACTGTGTGTAGTTGCCCTGGCATGCATGGAGCAGGTCGGGAGCCTCACATCCCTCGCAGGTGATGAGCAGAGGTCAGAGAAAGCCAGCCAGCCCCTGTGATGCTTCAGCACACGAGGGGTTAACAGGTTGCTCCCTCCCATAGGCACCAGCTCCTACAGACATCGGCTTTGTTCCTCCTCATCTCTCCCACCTCCCTCCTGGGGGATCTCGCTGTTCCATCACCGAGCTGTGCTTTGTATGAATGCTGCAGAGGAAGAGTGGCCGCTGTTTCTAATTTAATTAGCATCATCCCCAGGAGCTGAGAGCGTGGCAGAGAGGGATTTAGAGGCAGTGCATGAAAATGATGCATGGGTTTAACCACTTTCATGCCAGCATTGTTGCTAGATGATGCACAGAGACTACAGCTTTCTGAACATGTGGACATCACTAAATGAGGGTGTTGAGTCTCTGCCTCGGTGTGTCACAAATTCAGGGTGATTGCTCTTAAGAGAAAATGTAATCTAAGTCTGCTTGCCAACTTTCCCTCTCAATTTCTGTCCAGCAGAATTCTTTTCATAATAAAAAGTTTCTTTACGATTAAATTCCTCCAGTTCTATGTACTTAAATACCGGTTTAGTATTGGATATTCGATTTATTTTAAGGTTATTGGATGCTGAGCCCCTGGGTTGGATTGTGAGGGACGTTGTGAGGTTGCAATCACAGGAAGTTTTTACTGACAGGCTGGGCAAACATTGGCCAGGAATGCTTAGTTACTGTCAGGATCCTTACAGCTATTTGAAGATGGAACAGCAGCTGGAAGCCTTGTGTGACAGATGTGCCACTATATTGCCCAAAGGTATAGAAAGAGACAGTCCCCAAGAGCTTGCAAGCAAAGTCAAGTCTAGTTCACAGACCAAATCTAAAATCAGCAGGGGTGAGTGTGGCTCTGCAGAAAGCATGCAGGCATTTGTGTCTTAATGTGCCTCCTTTTTGTGTGTTTGCTTCAGGTGTCACAGGCTCGTCACATCTCTTTGACTACGGCTCCACTGCCAACGGAGGGGACAACTCCTTCTACACCTCCCTGATCTCCGATGTCCACTACACCACCCCGCGGGACTCCACCTATTTCACGGGCATCTACCAGCAGGAAAACACCCCCATTCCCTGTTCAGGCAGCACGGAGGGCTTTAATGCTCTGGGGCATCCTGTTCAAGATGTGACTGGGTTTGAGTCCCGTGGGCTGTTTAGCTCAGACTCGGGAATAGAGATGACTCCTGCAGAGTCTACTGAAGTCGACAAAACCTTAGCAGATCCCATGAAAGTAGAAGCTTACAAATACATGGACATGAGTAGATCAGAAGAAATAAAGTACCAAGAAAAACATGACTCTGACTCAGAAGATGAGAGCCCAGACCTTAGTGATAAGTACCGGGGAACACCCGCAGGGTCCAGCCACGTCGCTGAACCTCCGCGGACGCCTTCAGAGAGCACGAAGGCAGCCAAGGAACAAGACCTGCTGGAAGACAGAAAGTCTGGGGGTCAGCACAGTCCCTCTGTGGCTACAGCCCCCATCAAGATCACACTCACTGAGACAGAAAGCACCAAGGAATCTGCCAGCAAAGAGCCGAGCCCGACTCAGCCGGACACGGGCCTGAAGCCGAGCCACGAGGTGGTGCCCATGGTGACGGTGTCGGAGCCAGAGGATGACAGCCCAGGATCCGTCACACCACCCTCCTCTGGCACAGGTAATGCTGGTGTTGGTGCAGGGCACTGTGGGTTTTGCTATTCAAGAAGGGATTGCAATTGTACCCTGCACAGTGGAGAATTACCATGGATTTTGGGGGTGAGTGCAATGGGGTGTGAGAGGGCATTGACAAGTCTCTGTGGCCGGAGGTGTTTGTGCCCTGCTCTGGCACCAGTTTGTGTAGCCAGAGGGAAAGAGGGAGGCAAACTGTGCTCCCCATCACAGCACACTGCTTTTGATGGGCTGCCCTTGCTGTGTGGAAAGGGATCCAGGCCTGCTGAGCCCAGTCCTCAGGGATCTCTCCTGGAGGGGAAGCAGTATGCCTGTGGGCATCACTGGGGTAACTTCATCTAAGCCATGGTTGGAGCTGGATCCTGTTGGTTTGGGGGTCTCTTGGTCACCCTGATCTCTTGCTCTGCCCTAATTCCCCAAGAAAAATGAGGTGTATGGGATCAGGGAAATGCAACTGATTGAGTTTGTATTATTAAAATTTTAATGGCTGGCTTAACATCTCTTTGCCCCTGCAGAAAATAAGGTTAAATTGTTAAAAATCAGTGCTGTTTTCATGCCAAAGTGCTGCTTTTATAAAGTGCTGAGGAGGGAAATGCTGTCACCTCATTTACAAAGGGGCCTGGAGGGACAAAGGGCCAGTCTTTCTAAAAGACTCCTGCTTTCTATTGGAGAGCACCAAAATCCTGTGTTTATATGTTTTCTCATTGTCTGATTACTGTGGTGTATAATAGTATGTATTGTAGTGCATAATATCTATTCCTCATTTTCTCTACTGTACACTGCCAAAGTATGTAAGCAGCAGAGTGCTTTGAAAAGGAATAAAGTTCTGTGGCAGGAAACAGAGTTTTTTAGACTGAAAATTAAATTTCATTTGGATCAAAACCCTTTAATGGTGAACATTTGACAAAGAACATCCTCAAGCTGAAACTTCAATTGCTTCAATTTCATTTTGAAGAGTTTAAAAAAAAGTAGAATTTCCTTAAAATGGCAGTCTGACACCCACACTAATACCTCCCCTTGGAGAAATATTTGGGTCCTGCAGAAAAGTGAGGGAGCGTTTGTGCATTTCCACATAGGAAAAGGAGATAGAGTCCACCACAGCTCTGAATTTATTCTGCCTGCACCAGCCAGAAACTTTAATGAATAGACTTTAGAGCCACATTTTTCTTCTATTATTTGACTGAGTGAAATCACACACTGCTTCCGAGACACGTCACTGTTCATCGATTTACACTTTTTGCTACAAGGTAATTAAGGATTTCAGGCACTGTTACTTATTCAGTCCCAGTGGCTGTTCAAGGCAGCCTTGGGGGTGCTCCGTATCTGTATCCCATCAAAACTTCTTATCCATCACATTAGGCAAAGAAGAAGGCATTTACTTTCTGGAGGCTGGCTCACAAGGGGTGTTTTCTCTGGATTTCCCCCCCTTTCCTGTAGCTGGGAATGTTCCACTCCCAGACCCCACATTCATAAGTGATGAAGAAATTTAAAACCTGCCCTTGCTATTCCCACGCAGTGACCCAGCAAAGCCGTGGCTCCTAGATACCCCTCAAGCATTCTGGCAGAGCTGCCAGTCACCCCCTGCTTGGGCCAAGACTTTTTGAAAACATTTTGCTTTTAATCTCTGGCCCTCATCTTTCTGGGGAAGGAAGACATGGTCTGTCTCTGTGCTGGCGCTGAAAGGCCGTGGGTATTTATCCGCCTCCCAGTGCCAGAGGTAAATGTGACACCCTGCTGCTGGCCACAAAGGACTGTTTTATTCACAAGGTGAATGCCAGGGCTGGGAGTTACACACTGCCAGCACAGGGAGGAGCGGGGTGAAGCCCAGGGACAGCGCGTTGCTGCGCTACGAGGGCTGGAAGTCACATGCCTGTTTGGATTGGTGCCGGATTCAGTCCTGGCTCAGGGAGAAGATGCTCACATGCGGTGATGCAGGAAAGCAGCACAGCTTCCTGCAGCCAGAGGAGGATACACAAGCTCCCAGTGCAGCAGAAAATTCCCAGCATCCAGATAGGAGTGCGTTGTAACAGTGTCAGCACCTTAATCCTGCCTGCTGCCACAATCTGGGGTGCAGAAGAACTTTCTTGTGTCATCTGCAACCACAGGGCTGGAAACCTTCCTCCACTCCACTGTGGATACTCCAGCCCTGTGGATACCTGCAGGCACTGTCCTGTCATGGAGCTCTTCACCAGCACCTGCTGCAGGAAACTTGGGGATTTATTTTCCTGGTGGCTTTCTTGATGCCTCACAACTTGCAATGCCACTTAACAACCCCATCACATTAATAGTGATTTTAAATTAGGGAATGAACAGTCAGGATTCCAGAGGACAAATTTCCATGATGGCTGCTTCAGTGTGACTGGGAATTTGCAGTCAGAAAACGCAGACTAGGTTGTTAATCTTTTTGTTTTGTTTTGTTTCAAATTTTGGGTGATGAGATAGTCATTATTTTTGTTAATATAGTTCATGGTGATGTTAAGCATTACAGCAGAAAAAATCGGTTTCATTCTTGGACCCAAGTGATCTAAAAGCAAACAGAGAGAATTCACCACCCACACCCTGAGAGAAAAACAACCCCCAAATAAATTTTAAAAAGAGATAAAAGTTTCTGATCTTAAATTTTCCACACCTGAAGGTTGAAGCTTGGCAAAACTGCAGGTAACTACACATGGGTTGCTAGGATCAGCAGAACCCATGAGCCCCACGTGTGTATTTGTCCCCAGAATAGATGAGGATCTCTTGGTGGCAGTCTGATGCTGTCATGTGCATCCTCAGCCCGTGTTCCTCTTGACTGAAGATTTTCCTGGTGAAAATCATGCTGTTGAGCCACTGGTCAAGCAGTGACCAGCACTGCCTTGTACCTCAGCTTTTTCTTAAGTAAATTTGGCTTCTTTTATAAGGAGTACCTGCATGGCAAATGCTGTGTAAAGTCAAGCTGTTATTCCTGTTAGTCATCCCAGCCTGGGAGACTTCGTGCCTGTGCTCCCAGCCAGGCTAGAGGGCTACATGCTGAAATCTATTGTGTTTACTCCCTAAATTACTAGAAAACAAGATTAATAAATATTTTTTTATTTTTTTTCCCTCCTGTATGGCAGAACCGTCCGGCTCAGAGTCTCAGGGCAAAGGCAGCCTGTCGGAGGACGAACTGATCAGTGCCATCAAGGAAGCAAAGAGCTTTTCCTTCGAGCCCCCGGAGGCTCAGCGGCCGGCGGCGGCTCCGGTGGAGGAGCGGGAGCAGCGAGCCAAGCCCGGCCGCGCCGCCGCCTCCTCGCACGCCGACAACGACGGCAGCAGCGCCGAGTCCGGCGATTCGGAGATCGAGCTGGTCTCGGAGGACCCCCTGGCTGCCGAGGAGGTGCTGCACTCCAACTACATGACCTTCAGCCACATCGGGGGGCCGCCTCCGTCGCCCGCCTCTCCCTGCATCCAGTACAGCATCCTGCGGGAGGAGCGGGAGGCGGAGCTGGACAGCGAGCTCATCATCGAGTCCTGCGATGCCTCCTCGGCCTCCGAGGAGAGCCCCAAGAGGGAGCAGGACTCCCCTCTGATGAAGCCCAAGGTCATGGACATTATCAAGGAGGAGAACAACTCGCGCACCGACGCCAATACATACGAGGCCAGTAAAATGACGGAGAGCAGGATGAACAGGGAGAACCTGGCAGAGTCCTCGTCCTACCTGAAAAGCTCCTTTGTTGCACCAAAAACAAGCGCTGAGCCCCCGACCTCTGCCGTCAGCACCGAGGAGCTGAAAGAAAGAGTAATCCTGAAGAAACCCATTGAAGAAACTGTTGTTAACCAAAGTAAAGTGTCTTCCAAGGACTTGGGCAAAAAAAGTCCTCTGGCCTCGTTCCTACTGCCGTTTTTAAATAAGCAGAAAGGTAAATGCAGATGTTGTGTGGGTTTTTGCAGCGCTGCTGAAAGGAGGGGGAGGGAGGGAGAAGTGCCTGTTCCTTGCAGGGGAGATGTCTCAAGTGTGGAGCAGGGGGAGCTGCTGGCACAGGATACCCTCAGCTGGAAGCTGGGCATGCCTGTGATATTCCACACATCATCACTGACCTGCCCATCCTCAAAATAAATGCCAGCAACAATAATTTTTAGGCTTAAGTGTAGATACAGGATGGTGCAAGGACCCCAGCACCATAAGGCTGATTTGTGCATCTGGAGGACAAAGAGCAGCAAATGAACATCTTACCTGTTAAATACTTCTTGCCTGGTCCCAGGGCAGGGGTGCAATCAGGGATGTGGTCCTGCACCTCTCAGAAGTGTAAGGATAAAAATTTTCAGGATGCATTTATGAAAAAAAAAATAAAAAAGAGAACGATTTGGAGGGGAAGAAGAGCTGGGTTTGGTGAGTCTGGGTGTTTCTGGAAGTGTTGAAGGCCAGGTTTGATGGGGCTTTGAGCAATCTGGTCCAGTGGAAGGTGTCTCTGTCTGTGGATGTGGGGTTGGAACTGTGTAATATTTAAGGCCACTTCCAACCCAAACCAGTCAGTGATACTGAAGCTGGTGCAGTTTAAACAAATCTCTCTCATGGTGGCTGACACCCTTCATTCTTAATAATGAGGATGCTTCCAATGCAGGGAAGTGGGTGGCTCATCCCAGCTCTGCAGGACTTAGGGGACATCCTGTGTGCTCCTCTGAGATCCCCTTCCTTTACACAGCAGTGTGAGGAGGAAGGGTAAGACACCTCTAGGTGAGATTAAGCTGTGTCCCCATAGGGTCTCTTCAAGGCAGTGCAGGACCAGCTGAGTCCAGGCTGGCTGTGCCAGGCACTAACAGGTCTAACAGGACCCACGAAACTTTTAGAGACAACTCCAGGTTTTAGTCTGAGCTGAACCCTGAGGATCAAGGGGCAGCATGTGGTCACTGCACTGCTGGGGTCCCTATAGCCTCTAGGGGGCTTGGGTCACAAACCACACACAAAAAAGTTATTCTTTACACGATGCCAGCTTTAAGTAGCATTTTGTGTGCCCTGGCTTTGTAGGCTGGTGTGGGAGGGAGGGACACTGGCACTGCCCCACACCTGCCCTGCTGGTGTGGGGCATCCATCCCCCTGCCTGGGCTGGAAGTGCCCACATCTCTTGTCAGATGTGTTTTTGGAGCTCAAAGAACTGCTGCTTCCCTGCAAACAGCTGGATAGAGATTGGAGGAGGGGAAGAATCCCCCTCACCCTACTTAAAGAGCATCTTTTCCCTCTGTCCATATTTGTGCAGGTGTGTCCCAGAGATGAGGCAGGCATGTGTGAATGGCACATTTAAAACCCATTTCCTGTGTGCTGTGAATCCAAGTGTTTCTGGTCAGGAAACAGCCTGAACTTGTGCTGAGATCTGCAGCACAAACAAAATATGTTAATACTGATTCTGGGTGGTAATGCACTAATGACATTAATAGTCTGAATAAGAAACATGATTATTGTTTGTAAGTGTGTTTTCCTGGCAGACTCTCAGAGCTCCCAATGCCATGCTGTGCGTCTCATCTCCCTCACAAACAGTCTGAGCTCAAACAATTTCTTTCCCACTTACCCAATTCCCATTTTTCAGGACTAGAGAAGCCCCTGCCATAAATCCTACAAGTTGTAGGGCTGATTAAATTAACATTAAACACTTCTCCTTCAGTTTAGCATTGGGTCTCTGCAATCCCTGTGTGTGTTGTTCTGGACAGAACAATAACAATTTCATCTTGGAATCTGGAAAATAGCTGGGGACTATCATGTGGACAGCTAGTGTTCTGTCCCTCTGTTTTGAGGTTTCAGGATCTGTTACAATTTTTAGTACCCCTCAATCATATTCAGATTTTTTTGGCCTAAGTTTCATGACTCCCTTTATTTCTGTCATTGCCTAAAGTGATGATAACATTCCTTTTCTCATATGGTGGTCAGAGAAAATCCCTGTGTACTCAAGCAGACTTTGCCCCTGTGTCCCTGTTTCCTTTCTTTATTTCCCTAGGACAGCAGAGGCAGGAGCTTTTCCTCACAAGACAGCTAATTACTGCTTGGTGGTGCAAAGAGGACTAATTCAGTACGTGCTTTTTTGCTCTCAAGACACCCTGGTGCCTAAGGCAAGGAAAACAAAAACATAGAGAGCCTCTTGAGAGTACTATTGGTAAAACTTGTGTACCTTTATTTAAAGCTTATTTCTAGATATGTGGAGGTGGGTTCAAGACAAGAAAGTCTGGATGATGGCAGGATTCAGTTTACAATGCCTTCTAGTCATGGGTGTGTTGCTATATTTGGGAAATATTTAAATTGTTATGTTAAATGTGGTATATGGGGCTCTCCTTCTCTCCTGGGTAAGGATAGCTGGTCCCTCACTGGGAGAATCCACAGGAAATCTACATGAAAGCCAGCACTTTATCAGTTCTCAGAGGTGAGCTGAGGGATGTGTTAACAGGCTTGGTGGAACCAGAGCATTCCCATGGGTCCAAGACACATTGTCTGGCAGGGAAATGATGTGGCAGAGCATGACTTTCTCAGGGACTGCTTTCATGGCACCAGCTTGAGGTCTTGGCAGAGCTTGACATTCTTGGCAGAGCTTGACATTGCAGCATCACATTTGTGATTTGTACCATGTGCCAACTCAGAGGCACCTGAGGCATTTGGCACGGGCCACATTCAGCCAAAGTGACAAAAACAGGGCCAGAAGTGGCAGTGACACAAAACAGAGGTGCAGCAGAGTGATGTTGGCAGTGACACAAAACAGAGGTGCAGCAGAGTGATGTCACCCAAAGCAAGAACAGACATCATTTACTAATTAGGAGAATTATCTTAGTCATAGTTATGTATCATTAAGAGAATACTAACAAGATGCAACAAAGTACTTGTTAAATACAGAAATCAGAAAAACTTTGATTGTTTCTTATTACTTGCTTATTCCACAAGATAAAATGTAGCTGTTCAACACACCTGCCTGTGTTTTTGACACCCTGCTGTAGATCTTTCTGTGGCCCTTGGCCAGCTCATAGCCAGGTGTATGTAATTTAAAACCAGTCCCCCATCAGTTTCAATGTAAACCTTAACTATTTCAGAGTGTGGTACTGTAATCCCAGCAGGTCTTTTTTCACCCCTATCCATGGCATTGATGTATTTTACATTGCTCATCAGAAGAGCTTGCTCCGAGCTGGCGAGACAAAAATTGATTTTAGGTGCAGGAAAGGCATTGAAAGGCTGTGCAAAGGAAAAGCCCAGCATTCAACCTGACCCCAGGAACAGCCTTTCTGGTTGTGCTGCTGCCAGCCTGTGGGCTCTGGACCTCTCTGGTGTGTCTGCTGGGCGTGCTGACAGCACAGCCATCCCCCTGAATAACAAGGTGGAGCACAGCAGTTGCATGCGTGGTTTGCACAGTGATGTCTGCTTAACATCTATTGCCATCCAGTGGCAATAGCAAAAATGGGCAGTGACTTCCCACCTCCATTTTACTGGAGCTGTCAGGATTTGATGGAGTGGAGCCCTTCCCACGCTGTTGATCACCAAGCAGCCTCTCCCCGCATGGTCTGAATGATGCCTTTGCTTGATGCACCCCTCGGGCTATGGCCAGAGTTGTGCAGTTGCTCCCTGTGTTGGTGCTGCCAACTCCTCCTGCAGAGCACCGAGGGGAGGGCAGAGCTGCAGCCAAGCAGCTGCTGTTTGGCTGTTGCTGCCCTCACATCACTCCTGGCATCTCCTCCCAGGGGTGGGCACAGCCCTTACACAGCAGGGCTTGGAGCATATCTGACTGTGGCGCTGCAGAAACTGGGCTGCCAGCTCAGTTTCTTCTTCCTTTTTATTCTTTTTTTTTTTTTTTCTAATTGTTATGTGCTGGACTTGCACATGGCTTGGGCATACAGGGAATTTCAGAAAAGACCTGCTGTTCTTGAAACATGAATCCTTTGGCCCAGGGCATTTTGCAAGAAGCCCAAAAGAAGCCTGGATCAATTCAAGCTGAGAACTTTGGCTGAGTCCTTTCCTGTCTTGTCTTGTGGTGCCTTTTGGCCACTCTCTGCCAGGATGGCCTGGCTTAACTTGTGCTGGTGTCCCACAGCCTGAGGACCTGGTCCTGGGAGGATACCTCTTATGCTGGAGGATCATGTCTCTCCTCAGCCCCTCCCTCAGTGACAGTATTAAAAGATTCCTTCTTCTTGATCCATTTAATGAAATATGCAGCAGCCTGTCACCTTTCAGATCAGATGCCTGACCTTGGGATAGAAAAGAGATGTGGACATTTATAGTAATGGTTATTTTAAGTTTCTTTTTGCTTTATGGCAGAATTTCATTTAAGAAAAGCCCAGGCCTGGGGCTGTGGGCTGTCACTCATAGGTTAGATGACACAATGGGCAGGACCCAGGCTTCAGGCAGGATCTTGCTGGACACACAGTCAAATAAAATTAATAGTTTCAAGTACATTATTCTGCAGCATAGTCCTGTGCCAACCTGTCATGAAGCACCTTGATTTTGATGCCTTATGAAAAGCTTTCACAGCACTACTCCAGTCAGTCCCCTGCAAATGTGGGTCCTCACCATGCACCCTTGGTGGCTGCTCAGCCTCTAAGCACCCATGAGGGACACCAAGGTTCAGGACCACCCATCTCTGCGTGGTATCCTGGTGTCTCTTAGGTAGTGTCACAAGCTGCAGTCAGGATCACTTCTGGGATGACGGTGGCAAATGCCCTGGGTTGAAGAAGGTGTTTTCCCTCCTTCCTGGTGCCTCTTGTGCTGTCCCATGGTGTCCAGGCCTATCCCACAGTGGACAAACACTAAGCAGTGTGGGCTTTTCCTCCATTTGGTGTCACAGAAAAGCTGATTATACAGAGTTTCTCAAGGAAATGATTTTCCAGCAGAGATCTGGGAAAGACCTGAATTTGTTTGGAATGTTTTTTGTTCAGCTAAACATTGTCTGCATTGAGT